AGGGTACTAGACTTATGATTCAAAAGTATTAATTTACAAACACCATGTATTTATTCCTGTTTCTGTAAATTTAACAATGATGCACACTGGGGTTGTAAACGAAAGGCTTTTGTCATTTTCCCACGTGATAGCAAACTGTGTCCATTAGGTTATAAACAGTTTACAGTTGACTAATTAGACTTTCTTTTAGCTGTATTATATGAAACTAAGCAGTCTGAATCGCTAGTTTTAGCATAAGGGACTTCAAAAACTTGCACCAGCTAAAATCACTCCGGTGTACTATATGTTACTGGTTGAAACAACTCAAGTTAATCATCGGCGCTTGTTAGCCACATTACTAAAAGATTAGAATACAGTGTAGCTCTCTCAACAATTCTTCATAGCTGGTTTCAGCGAAAGTATATTTGGAATGGTTAGGCTCAGACGTCTAAAAGAGCTGTCTGAGGGCTAAAGTTACTTCTAGTTACTCACATCTTGTATCTTTCGATTTCACTTGTATTTTTGACGCTAATTTTAGTATAAAACAGGTAAATTATTGCAAGCTGGATATTCTGAGTTTTCTAAGGTAACTGTGACGAAATTACACCCCAGACACTTTGGGTGCTATTGACAAATTTTATTCCACTAAATTGATGTTTCAGGAGTGTTTTCTTTAACAAAACAATCGTAAATTTATCACTTGCACTGTGTGCTAAAAGACTGGTGAACAGGCTGATTTCTACATGATATAAAAATGGAATCTAGGTAGTAGTAGTAGTAGTAGTAGTAGTAGTAGTAGTAGTAGTAGTAGTAGGGTATAATCGCATCGCAGAATAATTTTATTTGACACAACACACATACCGAAACAGCATTATTAACTGGTGACGTATCTAAAAAATTTATTAATCCTGATCATATCAGTGCACTAACATAACTTTAAACTTTATTAACATAACCTGATTGTAGCCTAAAAGACCCGACTGACCTATAAGTCAGGTTATCGTGACACAAAATTTAGCCAAGTATAGAATGACTGATCCCTAAAAGAACTTAGCAGTCGCAACGCATGCACTAACATACAGTCACACAACAGAGTGGGATACAGCTACAGTTCTAAGATATTTTATATTTGTTTGTAGTAGAGGTTGACCTGTGTATCTTTGTTCATTGAATGTAATCCAGAGATATGAAAAATATTACTACCAATAAAATCAAAAGAATAACAAGTAATCATACAAGTTGCATTCATGAATACCAGTACTCAAATATTGTTGTTTCTGGCTTTTTTTGTCGATATAATGTAATGTACGATCTATTCCCAACTAATCATCTTTTACAGTGACCGCATACCTACTACAATCTTATGTAGAGACGGCAGTCTTTCCACTAGTCTTTATTCAACCTTTAAACTTTCCCTTATGGTTAAACATCAAGACCAACGTTTGTTGATATAAAAACTAAATGAATAACAAACTGTCTATTGAAGACATCAAAAAATTAAAAGGGTATCGCAGATAGTGCATAAATAAAAAATGAATATCTATGTCTACATTCAAATCTACACACCAGGGAATTGTATATCTCATGAGTAATCAGATAAAGATTATACATATATATATATATTCAAATTTGTCGCGCAACAATTCTCAATTACTTATTGTGTTCAGATTGGATTTGTTCCCTTTGCTTCATTTACTTGCTCATCAGTCTATAGAGTAAGAGTTCTGTTGAAATCAGGCAGTGATTACTGGTGACTGAATTAATGAAAACGAAATAATACAAAATTTATACTTCATTCTTTTGTTTCTATTCAATTTTGTCATCTTTCTATTTGGTAATGATTGTCTTTAAACTGAAAAGAGAATTTCCACTATTTATTCAACTAGTAGATAGGACAATAAACAATTTGTGTTGTATGTGTTAAGAAGTTTATTTCTTGTTTAATTTTCGAATCATGTTGAATGCAGAAACCAACTTCAGGCGCCAAACGAGTAAAGGTACTTACTGCTGCCTATGAGGAAACTGTGTCCATAGACTTTCAATCCAGAGTCTCTGATTGCAGAAATTCATCATCGCTGTTTTTAAATTTGGTGGTGCACTATAGTTCATCACTAACTACCGAAGCTATTTGTTTCTACTCCCAGTAATGCAGTGTATTTTGTAGTCTACTTGTAGCTAATTGGTGATTGAAAGATTCCCTGACTTATTTTATCCTTGTAAATACACCAAAGAGAAGCACTATATACAAACTTAAAGGTGCATGGCTTTATTTTAATTGTATACATCTTACTAAATGGATTAGATGTAGATATATTAACAGTCTGGTTAAGTTACCAGACAAAAGAAAGGAGTGCCACAAACTAAGATGAATTCACAGTCCACCGATTACAATCAACAAAAGTTTCTGGTGGAATCTACTCGTATTAGTAAAAAAATATATATACTGAACCTTAACCTTGGTTCTGTTTGTTGAAAACTGATATATGTCCTCATAACTAAGCATGTCTCTATACAACAGAATCGGACAGACTCGGGCATTAAAATGGCTAATTTTCAACGTGTGAATTTTGAACTTATAGAGTACTGATTTCATGAAAAGCAGAACTTTGAACAGTAGACGTCACCAGTTAGTAATACTTTATCAGTCTGTTTTTATTACACAAAATTATTCTATCAGAACTTCTATGTTCATGTATCCTTATTTTAAGTTTACTGCTAATACAAAAGGCTAAAATATCCCACTGATTCCTGGACATCTCCATTTTATTCTGTTTTTTCAGCTCTCCTTAGCTGACTCTACAACTTGAGCATTGTGGTAGTGTGCAATTCCCTATTAATTCGTTTATTAGATATATCACACTGTGAAACAGTATTATTAACTGGATGACGTTTTGAACAAAATTTATTGTTCGTAATCATATCAATTGTAATTCCATGTAGTGCTTTAGCTGAACTATTCCTCAGGTTTCTTATCCTATTAGGGTCAACTAATCTAGATTTTGCTAGGTTTTTATGCTCCGCTACTCTGGATGACACTGTGCTAATACTCAGATCTATGTATTTGACCTGATAATCATTCCAGCAGGACATTAGATAAACTAAATTGTTCTGTTTAGTAGGCCGCTGCAGAGGATCCTTTAACATAAAAAGCTTGTTTCCAACGGAGTTTGTGGATTTGAATGCCACTTTTATTCCGAGCTTCCTCCTTTGTACGGAAGTACTACCGATGATTTATATTCCCTATTGTTGGTGTTGTCATTATCCTGCGCATGTTTAACATGCATGTCTTCATCAATATTACTATTATTGTTATCATCATCAGTATCAATACTATTATTATTTACTTTATTTTTAAATTTTCCTACATACTTTCTGATTAATTTATCTGGGTAATTATTAAGTTTCAAAGCTTCTCTTATTTGCTTCACTTCCTGTCTTATATTTTTCTTGGTTTTTTGCCCTATTACTTAAACATTTCACCAATCCTATTTTTACTGACATTGGGTGGGATGATCCAAAATCCAAATATCCGTTGGAATGTGTGGGATTCCTGCAAACACTAGTGTTTTAATTCCCATCTTCTTTCCTTTTTACGTTGAAATCTAACATTGGAAGCTCCCTTTCTTGACTCTCCAGTTCATAGGGGGATTGATTTTCCCCTACCTTCGAGCTGATATGTTCTTGTTCATGCTGACTGGTGCTTGTTTCAGTTGCTGGTTAGGTACCTTCAACACTTCTTTCCTTTTTATGTTCACTTCAATTCCTGTCGCAAGTGTCTGTTAAGGGGGATTTAATTTTGACTTCATCAGTAATTAAAAAATAGCAGAGGGATTCACTGAAACTAATTTGACAGAAGAGCATCCTTCATATTGTGAAAATGAACAACTTTATCATGAAAATTAAACCTAACTCCTTGGAATGAATAAGAAAAAATCTCATTATTTTCAAAACTGACAAATTACTGCTTAAGAAGCAGTTAAGTGATTACTGAATCAAACATGTGATCTTAGAGAAACT